TATCAAGAATGAGAACATCCTCATCTCTGAAAGAGTGACCGCTGGCCTGTAAATGAGTGAAAACTGCAGAGTTCTGGCCATTAGATGTAGTTCGTTTGTGTTGGGACATTATTTTGAACAGTAGCTGCTTAGTTTCCCCGATGTTTTTTTTTTGTTTGTTTTATGAGGGGACAATGCAAATAAAGAAAAAACACTCTGGATTTGAGTTGCAATGAATGATCCAAAACGACAATGAATGCTAATGTCAGCTTGTTATTTAGACATATAAAGCTGAAGATTAGTGTAGAAAAAGTGGAAAACAATAATTCCTGATGTCCACCACAGAAATATAAAAGGCTATATGATTCAGTCATTTTAAGACTTATTGAGATGAAATCTGTTGTACCAATTGCCCATACTGATGAAGCTAACCATAATGGCTAATGCCAATTTAGCAAAAGACCATAATTCAGTCCTTTTTAAGCAAACACAGCTGAAAATTTAAGCTGGAAACATACTCCCTCTGAACTGCCAACGTCGGCACGGGTTGTCGCAGTTTCATGACGAAAATTACGTCACTGGTGTTCACAGCATCGGCTCGACAGCCCCTTTTGGCACAACCCACGGGCAGAACTTTTTACCCTCCTCCTGCGATGACGGTAATGTGTTTTTTTGTCACTTCAGTAGAAAACAAAACCAAATATTACTAGTTTATTTAGTTTATTTCTTCATCATCAGTGACTTTTTTATTAAGAGAGAAGATAAGAAAGAAAGAAAAGTGAAAAGAGCTGAAACTACAAATGTATGAAATATACTCAATAAGACCACAAGACACCCCCCCAACATCCACACCTCCACACCCACCAACAACCGCACAGACATACATACATAATGACATTCTAATATTTCACCCACATCTACATATAGTACATGCCTGTATGTATTATAAGTACAAATGCATCCCCACACCCCTTTATGTGTTATGAGCATGCATACCTATCCAAGGTTTCTCCAATAGAATATTTAATAGTGACTGTGAAGAGCCCAAGACCCAGCCCCCAAGACCCGAGGCAGACAAAGAGGGGAGCCAGAGCTCGAGACACCAAGAGACGGTAATGTGTGATTGGTCTGAAGTTCGTGGGCGTGTTTGTTTGTGGTGAAACTGAAAGGGCTCGGACACTCAAAAGAAAAAAAATAAAAACTCGCCTCCAGAGTGGACGGTTACCAGGAAGCAGAGTTTTATAAAGATAGGCAAACCGAGAAAAACTCATGGCGTGTTTGTTTGTGCTGAAAGCGCTATAGACACTGCATTTACTTCAACCACTCACTAAAAAATAAAAAATAAAATGACTCGCTCCCAGAGCCGACTGTTACCAGGAAGTAGAGATTTATAAAGATAGTCAAACCATAAAAAACTCATGAATGGAGATCAAACAGACGTTGTGCACGGGGGAATCTGACTGAAAACTGTGGAGCTTTAATCAAGCCAGATGTGGATAAATATGTCGGGTGAGTGACGAGTC